CTGTGCTGTGCTTACCATGAGGATCGAACCCGGGCCACACGCATGCCAGGCGAGCGCGCTACCGCTTGAGCCACATCCCCAGCCCATTTATTTATATTTTAACCTCCCTTTATTTCAAGGTAATACCTGTTGCAGTTGTTAAGTTCTGTAACTGCAATAAATTTGCAGTTAAACTTACAGACCCATTTATGCAATAGACAGATTTTATTTCTATCTCTTGTCCCCCAAACAGATCTCTTCACCAGTTTTTATTTCTGAAAGAGGTGTGCGGGATAAGCTGCAGTTTGTCCTTAAGAAAAGCCCTAGGATTAGACAGGATAGGTAGGCAAGCAGAGATAGAATAGGAAAATTCAATACCTGAACTTTTTATTGAATAGAAGTCTAGGTATAAAGGAAGCACCTGTGACATTAGAAACTGCCACATTTAAGGGGCTGGTGGAGAAGATCACAGAGAAGTCCAAGAATGAGGATAGTGAAGAATGAGGAATGGTGTGAAAGTCCAGGGAAGATTTTTATATGTGAACAAAATTCTGTGTAATAAGAGATACTTATTCAGATTATTATCAATGTATTTTTCCAAAATAGTAATCTGATCACATTACCTTTCCCTGTTTATAACTCTTTAAACATTGCCCATTGTTTTTGATCAAAATCCCGTATGCTTATCTCTCTAGCATTATTTTGTGCAGTGTCCTTGCTGTCTATACTTCAAGTACATTGGCTTTTCCCACTTCAGTTCCTAAGATACTTTCTTTCCTTCTACTCTCAAACTTTTCCATATTTTATTGTTTTGAATATTCTTCCCTGACACTCTTTTCTTGCTCTATGTTTATTTATGTGTCTGGCTCCCCAGCATAGCCTATTATTTTCTTCTAGTTTGGGTCACTTTCTTTTGTTATATGCTCTTATTAGTTCATTTCTGTTCCACAGTACTTATTTCAGATTATAATTATTTCATTCATTTTTAAAAATTATTTGATTAATGTTGCTTTTTCCTACTTCCTTGAAAGTGTCATTTGTCCAAGGACCATGTCTCTACTTTGTTTGCCACTGTATCTCTAGAACCCACATGATCCTGGCTCTTATCATACTGTTTAAAATAGCTAATATTAATAGCTAATAGTTAATATTTACTGTGCTAGGTATTGTTCCAAATAGTTTATGTTAACTCACAATTATAAATGTTTATTGAGTGAATGAGTGACTGAATAGGTCTTTTTTATCTCTCTAACCTCATCTTTAATCACGTCTGCATTTATATTTATTCTGTAGCCATACTATTTATTATACTTTAAACTAGTTCTATTTGCTACTGGTTCCATATCTTTGCTTATGCTATTCTTTGTGTGTGTGTGTGTGTGTGTGTGTGTGTGTGTGTATTTTTATCAGACCAACTCATGTTTTTCTTTCTCTAATCTCAGCTCAAATGTCCTTCCTATCTTGTCCCATAAACTTCATCTAAGTTCATGATTAAATGAAATGAGAAGATTAAACTTTCTCAGTACTTCAGTAATTTCGTGTGTATGCTTTTCTCATTTCCAACTGTAGGACATATTATTATTTTGTTTATGGAGATGACAAGATTCAGTCTCTCATCAAGGAATTTACAGGAAACTCTTTGATAACAGGGTCTGAACTTTTCATTTTTCTCATTAATTGTGAAATAAATGCTAGTAGAATATAGGTCTAAGATGGTATTATGGTGTTCTAAGTGACCTCCATGAAGATTTAGATCTACTTGTATAATGCAATGGTTTTCAGAATATGGAAAATACAACTTTGTTTTAAAGTTTTATGAGAAATGGATTGAGAAATGGTTTAGGTGAAAAATTTAGAAACTCAATTAAGTTTCATATTTAATTGTTTTAAGATCAATAGAACAATCCTATTTAGCTAGGACACAAAAGTACTTGCTTGAGAAAGTGCCAGTAGAGTTGGATATGTTCTCTAAGCCTTGAACCCTTATGCTATATTGTGGTTGTCTAGTGAAAGGTGCCCCCTTTTATAATTTATACATATAGAGGGGGTGACTTTTTATAATTCATACAAAATACTATACAGAATAGCAGAGGCTCTGGGGATTCAGAGCTTCAGTTTCATTTTTTAGCCTTTTATTATGAAAAATATCTTTAGACATACATGTAGAGATATAACTATTATTTAAGAAAGGCTTACAGCTCATTCAGTGTTTATTGGATGAATAATTTCAGATTAACTTTATTACAATATATTTGACTAGTCCATCATGTTATCTTTGCATGAAAATTTTTTATTTCACATACTGTTTGAAATAAGTGGGTTTTCAGTTACAAAGAGAAAATATTTTTGTTAGAATTTGGGTTCTGATAAATATTTAACTTGTGGGTTTGCCTATGATGGGCTTTGGACAGTTACTGTACATGCATTTTTAAAAAATAATATCTTGTACATATTTATTTTTGTAGAGATTAAAGAAGCTGCTCACATCTTGTCACATGTTGATAATGGTAAGATTGATATACCTAACTTGAAACATGCCCTGAAATGTTTGAATGCTAATTTAACAGAGGAGGATGTCAATGAAGCCCTTAAACATTGTGACATCAGTGGTGAGCATTTTTGATTTAAGATTCTCTTCATTTTTCTCCCTACTCATGGAAAATAGTCTTAGGGATATATATATATATATATAAGAGTTAAGCATCTAAAGGGAGTCATCCTTCTACTGAAAGCTTAGGTTCATGTAAATTGAGCCAAAATAATTAATTAGCTTGCATATTTGTTAACATATATAATTGTTCATACTTGTGTGGATACTATAAATGATTATTTATATAATTGTATAATTATGTGAATTAATACATATAAAACATCAGAAAAGGATGGCTAGTATATATAAAAGAACTCAAAATGTTAGTTATTAGTATTATTCTCTATTCAGTGAATGGTTCTTAAAGGTGTTTTCTGTTGCAATAGTTTCAATGATTTGAAGAAGGAAAGTGAACCAGAAAGGAGTTTTAGCTAATTATTATACATCAGAGTCTCTATTTCTTGTGCTGATTCAGTATCAGGTTTTCAATGGCAACATATTTTATTTTGACATTCCAGATAATATGGCAGTAGATTTAAAAGATTTCTTATTGGAAATGAAAGAAAATCCACATTTCAAAGAGTCCAAGGGTAAGTGAATACTTTTGGATCAGGATAATGACTGGAAAATAAAGATAATGAAATGACATTAAAACTTTTGCCATATAGATTTCAAGTTTTAAATTTGTATAGTTTCAAAAAAGATTTTAGTTTATGAATATAAATAATATAGGATTATAAAAGTGAGGAAAATGGATCATAAATGTAACGATGGGGAAATAAGTGAAAGTAAAAAAGTCATAGTAAATACCTTTGCTGTCAATGCATGGGCCTTTCTCAAACATAGATAGATTTTCCTTTTAGGAGTTCTAGACTTATGAAATAACTCAGGGTTGGAATTGGGAGAATTGAGAGGAAATTATTTTTGTTTTTGTTGTGCTATGTCAGACCTCTGAGTTTTCAGGTGTATCTAACTAGACTGCCTCTCTATTTTGGTTTTAGAAATTCTAACTTCAGTTAATCAATTCTTCTGAATCTCTGTAGTATCAACCCCTGTTATTATTACCACACAATATTTATCCTAACCTCTGCTATTTCTGCTTCTTGACCTCCTTCCCAGAAGTTTCTTTTATCCTTGAAATTAGGAAACTAATTTCAACACTAACATCTTTTCCTAACTCCCAAGTCTACAGAGAATACCTACCAAAACAACTCTTCATAGATGCAGACCTCCTTATCAACAATACATTTTTAAATTCTTTGGGTGAAATAAATGTCTTTTTCACATTTTAATATCTCTAAAATTAAGATGCCTAATAATATATTGCATTTATAATCAGATATGTACTTTTTATTGAGATTTAATTTGTAAACCACAAACTTCAGTCTTATAATCTTCACTCTTTAAAAGTGTATACAGTTCATTGGTTTTTAGTACAGGCACAAAGTTGTGTAGCCATCACCACTTTTCTGCTTCCAGAATATTTTTATCATTCCCCAGAGAAATTTGGAACCCATTAGCAACTATTCTCTATTCTCTCTCTAGCCATTGACAACCACTAATCTACTTGCTGTCTACCTGCTTTTGCCTATTTTGAATATTTCACATATATGTAGTAAGATGCTACCTTTTGTGTTTGACTTATTTCACATAGCATATTTTCAAAGTTCATTTTATAGCATGAATTAATACTTTGTTACTTTTTGTGATGAAATAATATTCCCTTATATAGATATGCCATATTTTATTTATTTTTTTAAATCAATTGTTGGACATTGAGGTTGATTCTACTTTTGGCTATTATGAATAATGCTACTATGAACATTTGCGAGTTATTTGTATATAAGTTTTTGTGTAGATATATATTTTAATTTCTCCTGGTTAAGAGTGGAATTGCTAGGAGTGGAATTTCTAGGTCATATGGTAATAATTATTCTTAACTTTCTGAGGAACTTGCAAAGTATTTTCCAAAGTAGCTGCACAATTTCAGATTTCCACCAACAATATATGATATATTTACATCCTCAATAATACTTGTTATTGTCTGTCTTCCTTATTGTAGCCATTCGAGAGTTTGTAAAGTATCTCATGTTGTAGTTTTGATAATTGAGCATCTTTTCATGGGTGTGTTGACCATTTGTCTATCTTCTTTGGAGACATGTATTTTCAAATCTTTTGCCCATTTTAGAATTAGGTCGTCATTTTGGTGTTGTTGAATTGTAAGAATTCTTTATATGTTCTCGGCAATAGATCTTTATGAATTGCAGATCTTTTCTCCCATTTTCTGGATTGACTTTTCTTTTTTTTTTTTTACTCTAATTTGTTATGTATGACAGCAGAAAGCATTACAATTCATATTACACATATAGAGCATGATTTTTCATATCTCTTGTTGTACACAAAGTAGAATCACATCATTTGTGTCTTCATACACATACTTAGGGTAATGATGTTCATCTCATTCCACTGTCTTTCTAACCCCCACGCCAACCTTGCATTCCTGGGATGAACTCCATTTGATTGTGGTGCACTATCTTTTTGATATGTTTTTGTATTCGATTTGCCAGAATTTTTGCATCTATGTTCATTAGAGATATTGGTCTGAAGTTTTCTTTCTTTGATGTGTCTTTGTCTGGTTTTTGAATCAGAGTGATAGTGGCCTCATAGATTGAGTTTGGAAGTGCTCTCTCTTTTTCTATTTCACAAAATAATTTGAGGAGTATTGGTATTAGTTCTTCATTAAAGTTCTTGTAGAACTCAGCTGTGCATCTATCTGGTCCTGGGCTTTTCTTGGTTGGTGGGCTTCTAATGGTGTCTTCTATTTTACCACTTGAAATTGATCTGTTTAAATTGTGTATATCACCCGAAGTCAATATGGGCAAATTATATGACTCTAGAAATTTGTCGATGCCTTCCAATATTTTCTATTTTATTGGAGTACAAGTTTTCAAAATAATTTCTAATTATCTTCTGTATTTCTATAGTGTCTGTTGTGATATTTCCTTTTTCATCATGTATGTTTCAAAATAAAAAAGTTTAAAAAAGAGGTCAAAAATTGATTGTGTTTTGAAAAGAAGAGTGTAGTCAAATTTCAGGTGCCTGAATTTTATTTTTTCTACTGACCACACCTACATGACCTTACATAGGTCATTTTACTACTTTAGATTCTTTCTCCAAACATCAATGGTTTGACCTCAAAAAACCATAAAGAACTTTCTTTTTTAACAGTTCAGTGATACAAGTTGAATTTTATTCCTTTGACATTTCATATTTTGACAGTTGAATAGGTTTTGTATCGGAAGAACAGAGTAGATAAATGAACTTATTATATAATATAGGATACTGTGGTAATGACTGGCTGTGTGGCACTGGAAAAATTATGAATGTTTTTGTATTCTCAGTTTCTTCACTTCAATAAAAGGATAACAATGCCCATATCATATGGTAGTTGTGAGAATTAAGAGCATTTCCCTGTAGTAGGTATGTTTTAGTCAGCATTTTTTGCTGCTGTGACCAAAAGACGTGACAAGAACAATTTTAGAAGAGAGAAAAGTTTATCTGTGGCTCACAACTTCAGAGGTCATGGTCCATAGGTGGTTGACTTTGTTGCTCCGGGCCCAAGATGGGGCAGAACATCATGATGGAAAGATGTGGAGGAGGAAAGCAGTTTAGGATATAATAATTGGGAAGCAGAGACAGACTGCTCCACTCACCAGGGGCAAATATATATACCCCAAAGCCATGCTCCCAATGACCTACCTTCTCTAGCCATACCCTACCTTTCTGTGGTTACCACACAGTTAACCCATTCAACTGGATTAATGCATTGACTAGATTAAGGGGTTCATAATCCAATCATTTCACCTCTAAACTTTCTCGCATTGTCTTACACATGAGCTTTTTGGGGAACACTTCATATCTAAACCATAACAGGGTACTAATTAAACAGTTATAAACTCCACTGTGCAAAATGTAAAATAGCATAGTTTTTAAAATTAAATTAGTAGTCAGATTTTCTTTTCTAAAATTCAGTACTGTAAATTAAACTTTATGCCCCTAATATATGAAGAGAACATAGTGGGCAAATAACTGTGTTACAGAGCATAGATTAGTGTGTCATCCCAGAAAAATTACATAAATTTTCTATTTTTCTGTTTCTTCTTTAAAATAGTAGTGGATCATGAAATACATTCTGCTTTTATACCAAGGCACTGGAATCCTTTACATTCAAATGACATAGTTGAGTTCATTTTGTTTCCTAACTTCTCTAGAATCAGATTCTCATAGTATTATTTCCCTTTTTAAAGAAAAGAAACTTCATGTTCAAAAGGACATGTGGATATTAATGCTTTTGTCATAAGGAGTTGTAAGAATTGGGACCATGCCTCTAATGTAGATAGTAATTAAAGTTGTAGACTCCTAGTGTGTGGAAATGTAATTAAATTCATAGTCAAGGTTTAAATTATTATGTATCTCCAAACAAAGCTTTTGATGGGCCAAGAGATATTCTGCCTCCTACCTTGCCAATTTACTTATACAACCTCCTGAGCTAAAGCCATCTTCCTGTCAGCCTTCCTAGTAGCTGGTACTACAGGAGTGCACCACCATGTCTGACTTACCTTGTTTTAAAACTTGTATATTTTATTATAGACTTAATCCCTCCCCCCATATCTAACATTTCTGGCACACCTATTAACATATTCAAGTACTCAAACAGAGGCTTAAGTCCTTCAGATGCTCTGACTTGAACTGTTTCTTCTCTATGCCTGCTTTACAGCTCTTGTCCAGGGACTTCTGTTTAGCCATATTTTGGTACTAAATTGTTTCCTGAATCTGTTATTTTTCCTTGTTAAAATGTACTCCTTCATTTTGCTGATGCACATACTCAATGAGGTTCCAAGGAAAGCAAGCAGGGGGATACAATTTTCAAGTCTTTGAGTGCTTACAAATGACCTTCTTTTAGCTTTATCTTCTTTGATTATTTGGCTAGGAATTAAATGGTAAATCTCTACCATAGTGCTTATGTAGTAGTTGCTCCATAAATGGAAGATGATTTTAATGTTGGAGCAGATTATAGCAGAGTTTGTCCTCCTACATCCAGCTAGCCATACCTTCCACTTAGTCTATATATTATTTTATTTTTATTCTCAGTTGTGGCCAGTTTCAACAAGAGCTGGAGGAAGAATCTACTTATGTGAAAAAAGGGCTGACAGAATATTTTTTCATATTATTAGTATCTATTCTTTTTTTGCTACTAGGGACTGAATTCAAGGACATTCTACCATTGAGCTACATCTGCATTCCTTTTTTTAAGAAAATATATTTTAGTTATACATGGACGCAATATCTTTATTTTGTTTATTTATTTTTATGTGGTCCTGAGGATCGAACCCAGTGTCTCATATGTGCTAGGCAAGCGTTCTGCCACTGAGCCACAACCCCAGACCACCATTCCTTTTTATTTTAGGACAGGGTCTCATCAAGTTACTCAGGTTGGCCTTGAACTTGTGTTCCTTCTGCCTTAGCCTCCCAAGTTGCTGGGATTACAGGTATGCGCCACTGCACCCAAACACTATCAATATCCAATTATTTGCTTAGAACAAAATATAACATGCTTACATGTTAATCATTTTGTGGTGAAATCTATCTTGTATCTTTATTAAAGTTTAAGTCAAATTATTTAATTTAAGATGAATTTATAATCCTTCACAAGATTATTTCAAGGGTTACATATGAAATATTAAATAGCCCAAGGGATAAAATTTGACTACCTATATATCTACCTGAAAGGCACAATGGTTAAGAACTTAGGCTTTGGAATGTGTCTAACTTGAATTCTGTTTTTAACCTCAGTTTCTTCATCTGAAAATGGGGATAAGAATGCATATTGTGGGATTATTATGAGGCCAAATAGGTAAGGTAAAAGTGCTCAGAACAGTGTCTCACACTTGGCAAATTTTCAGTAATTGTTATCTAGTATGATACATTTTGTTTTTAAAACTATACTAATTAGTTCCATTATATTTTATACAACCTGAGGCTACTATGTGAAAATGAGTAACACACAGTTTCTGCTGCTGAAAAATTTGTTTTTGCTTTTTTTGCAGCTACCCAACTACTCTTAGCTACTACCCAAATTCTCCAAGATGATCTAATTGATGTCTCTGATCTCAAGATGTTATTGATGAACAATGATCTTTATCCAGCTAATGCCATATTTAATGAAGTGTTAAGACATATACCTGAACATGGTTAGTAGTTTTAATATATCTATCTTATATGGGTCATCTTCTGCTGATGGGGTTGGAAGGTATAGGGGTGGGACATACAAGAATGAAGGGTACTCATTGCTATGAAATGACTGATGGACAGCAGTGTTGTCCTGATGGTGTGCCAACCCAGAGCTCCGTGGGGCCAAACAAAGGGAGAAGTCAGGGCCCATCCTGTCTTTATGGAAAACCAATGGTGATACCTAGGAGGTGAAATTATCTTGTGAACTGACTGACATGGGCAGTGATCAATCAGAATTCCATCCATATAGTAAAACAGGGCCTTAGACCCTTTAGCACCTTCTAAAGGTGCTAACCCTGTAGAAGCTAAATTGTGGTGACATCAAAAGATACTAGGTATGGTTGCATATGGTGGAGGCTCAGAGCAGCAGATATTTACAAAGGTACAAAATAATTTCATTATTTCAGTAAGTAGTATAGCTGAATATTATCATTATTAGGTTCTTAAAATGAGTTGAGGAGTATTTCCTTCCTATTTTCTCAAAGAGACTTTTTTCTTCCTTTAGTTTTCTTTCTTAAATGTGAAGACTTATGGAGTTTGTGAAATGACTTTGGATTATTAATAATATTAATTATTATTATCTAAGTGAATGGGATTTTCTTGTTAATTTTTATAAACTGTTTGTAATAGGAATTTGTTAAATTCATTTACATTTTCAAATGTATTGAACAAAGTTGTTCTTGATTTCTCCTGTCTTTTTGATGTCTACCACATCTATAATGATATTCTCATTTTAATTTTCAATATTAATGACATATAGTTTTCCCCTCCTTGATCAATTGAATCTAGGGCTTTGTGCACTTTACTAACTAAGCTCTATTCCCAGCCCATGTATTATTCATTGTTGCCATTCTGACTGGAGTGAGATGGAATTTCAGTGTAGTTTTAGTTTTTAGAGATGTTAAACATTTTTTCATATATTTGTTAGTCATTAGTATTTATTCTTCTGTGAAGTGCCTGTTTAGTTCCTTTGCCTGTTTATTGACTGGTTTATTTTTTGGTGTTATTTGCATGTCCTGGAGATGTTCTGAGGTGGATGAAGGTGGTGAAGATTTTTCTTCTATTCTGTAGGCTCTCTCTTTACATTCTTGATGGTTTCTTTTGCTGTGAAGAAGTTTTTCAGTTTGATACCATCCCATTTATCTAACCATTTATTAGGTGATAGGTGAAGATTTAATATTTCATTTAGGAAGAAATAGCTGAGTTTCTGCTTATCATGTCTTTATTTTACCTTTGTAGTTGAAGGCTATTTTCTGAGAGTATAGACTTCTAGATTTTCAGTTATTTTCTTTCAGTACTTTGACTATATAATTTTTATTTGTTCTTGGTTCCATTTATTCCGTTTAGAAGTCAATTATCAATCTGTTTGTTCTTCCTTTATAGATAAACTGTACCTTTTGTTGTTGTTGTTGTTGTTGTTATGGTGATCAAAGCCAGGGCCTTGCACATGCTAGGCAAGCACTCTATCATTGATCTACATCTCTAGGCTATATCTGCTTTAAAAACTTTTCCTTCCTTCTCTCTTTCTTTCCTTTGCAGTTTTATATAATGTTTGAGGTTATAGGATTTCTTGAATTTGTGGCTTGATATTTTATGTAGTTTTAGAGAGTTCTCTGCCATTATTTCTTTAGATATTTTTCCCACTCTAGTTTTTCTTCTTTTTGAACTTCAGTTACATGTGTATTATATTTTCTCACTGTATTCACAACTCTTCTTATGTACTTATATCCTTTTACTTTATACTCATTGTGTGTTTTCTTCTGAACTATTTTTTCAGGCCACTCATTCTCTGGCTGTGACTGTTTTGTTAATAAACCCATTTCTTGAATATTTAATTGTGATTAATATATTTTTCAGATTTATAATGTTATTTGATTTTTTAGTTTTCTGTTTAATTTTCATTCTTATCTTTTTCTCTTTGAACGTGGTAAATATAATATCTGTTTAGAAGTCTGATTCAAACCCCTCCCCACAATATCTGGATTTCTTCTAGGTACCTGACTTTCTGTATTCAATTTCAGAGACTGGGATAATTCACAGGAGAATTGTAGTCTTTGAAAGGCCTATTTAATTTTAGTTATTCTTACTCCAGTCCCAAGTGAGACACATTTACCATAGCTCTCTCCTCTCTGTGGATTATGGATTCTAATCCTTGTTCCTGGAGCCCTGTAAGTTTTTCATAAGTGTTGCACATACTCCTACATTCCCAACAGCATCTTATGCTTTTGGTAGGTGCTCCAGGAAAGAGTACTCCCAAATGGGCTCATCTGTTTTGCTTCTTTCCTTGTTAGTTTTTTGATGCTATAAATCATATATTTAAAAAAATATTTTGGCCAGTTTTATTTAAGTTGCCTTCAATAAGAAAATTGATTCAAATAGCCTATCATCCACAAGCTAGCCACAGAAAGACAATAACACCACATAATCTCATTCATATCTAAAGAAGATCTAAAGAAACTCATCTAATGGAAGAAAAAAGTAGGAGAGGTTGGGAAAGGTAGGGGGGAGAGGGTGGTTAGGAGAGACTGATCAATGCATATGAAGTAGTGGATAGACAGGAGGAATAAATACTGGTATTCCTTTGCATAGTAAGATGACTATGGTTAGCAATATTTTAAATATTTCAAAAAAGCTAGAAAAGAAGATTTTTGAATGTTTTTGTCACAAAGAAATGATAAATGTATGAGGTGATAATATATTAAATATTCTAATTTGTTTATCATTAATGTATGCATATATAAAAAATCATACTATATCCCATAAATATATATAATCATGTGCCAATTAAAAATAAGATTAAAAAAAACCACAAAATTACCTCTTTCCCTAATGAGTTATTATATAACAATTCCATAAAATGCAGATGTTTATTAAATCTTCTATGTATTCTTTGTGTTTCTCCTTATTGTTCTATCAATTTATGCTTTATTTTTGATTTTTAAAATTAAGGTCTGATTTACATGCAGTTAAAGATGTAATTATTATGTGTATGATTTGATACATACAAAGGAATGTTCATAATAGTCATTCAAAATAGTTAAAAAACCAGAACAACTTGAATATTCATAGAAAGTAGAATGAATAAGTTCTATTAATCATATAATGAAATAAATATATAACTGATAAAGAATGAAATACTGCAATCAGAAGATTATGTTGTATTATAGTGTTAGAAAGTTGAGTGAAAAAGTCAGACTCAAAAAGAACATATAGTATAATTTCATTCATATGAAAGTCAATACAGGTAGACTAGACCAATAGTGATAGACATCTGGATGTTGGTTACTTTTTGAGAATGGAATACTGAGTAAGAAAGGGCAGGGCTGGGATTGTGTCTCAGTGGTAGTACACTTGCCTAGCATGCACAAAGGCCCTGGGCTTGATGCCCAGCATTCCTACAAACAAAACAAAACAAAATAAAATACAAAAAATTAAAAATTAAAAAAAAAGGAGAGAGAGAGAGAGAGAGAGAGAGAGAGAGAGAGAGAGAGACCTTCCTAGAGGAAATGATTTGGGTGATAGTTACATAGATGCACACATATGTACATAAACATTCCTGTGGAAATGATACCCACATCATTTCCAGTTTCCTGGATAATATATATATCCATGAATAAAAAAATATATAATCATGGTAAATTGCTGAGAGAAATTTAAGAATGAAGATACAGCATGTTCATGAATAGGGAAATTTACTATCAAATAGATTTCTTTTTTCTGTTTGAAATGGGGTTTTGCCATGTTGCCCAGGCTGGTCTCACACTTATAGGCTCCAGTGATCCTTCTGCTTCAGCTTCCCAAGTGCTAGCACTACAGGCATGTACCATTGCATCTGGCTACATATTAAATTTATTTTAATCTGCCCAAAAGTTATACAAAGTTTCAAAGCAAATATAATCTAAATTTGATAAAATTTTTTGAATATTTTTATAACTTAATTAGGTGGCAGAAGGTTAAGAATAGTCAGAATATTTCTGAAGAAAAGGAGAGAGTTGAGACTGCATTTGGCAGATATCCTCAGATGTTAGGATTTATGAGAGGCTAATAATAATTAAGACAGCATATTATTCATGTAGAGATAGACAACTTGACTATGGAATGGAACATAAGCCTTAAAAAAGCAATGCAAGAATGAAACATACCCACTTATGCACTGTGGCTGTAAACCATTGTAATATCTAAGATTTTTTTCTCTTGCTCTAAGAACCAGTTTTGTCTCTTGAGGATGATACCACCCTCAGTGAGAATGCATGTCCTATGGACATCTTAATTTTTTTTGTCTTGTTGTATTGCTGAATCCAATTTTCAATATTTCAACTTTTAACATGTTTATAAACAATATTGGTCTATAGCCTCCCTGTACCCCCCTGAAGTGTTATTTATATCCTGTAGTTTTATAGGCAAGTAGAAGCTGCTGGAGTGTTTTAATTATGTGAGTAATCATATTTCTTTTTTTCTTTTCTTCTTAAGAGAAAGACCTCCTTTAACAAATTGTGGAAAATAAATGGAAAAGGATAAAACTGGTCGCATGGGTTTTTAAAAGATGCGATTTTAATAGTATAGATATTAGTTAACAAACAAAAATTGATAATCCTGTGCATGTAGGAGGTAAGAGAGGAGAAACAGTCCAGGCTGACTCTTAAGCGTTTAGCCTTTGTTATAATTTGACTGTTAGCTTCAGCTATATTAATAAATTCCAAAACTAATTATTTCATTCAGCTAAATCTTGCTTTACATTACAGAATATGGCAAAGTTACTGTTCAAGAATTTATGAGCAAGCTCTCTGATACATTAACAATTCCAAAAGCTACAGGTGAGTTTTATATAATATTTATTTAATGTCCATATCTGGAAAGACAAGTGGGGTTTACATGTTAAAATAATAGGCTGAACAAAAAGAGCAATATTGGTGGTATCTCAATTCATGATTTTAAAAATATATTAATAACAAAAACATCATAGTACTGGCAAAGAAACTGACAACACAGACCAGTGGAATAGAATAGAGGACACAGAAATAACCCACACAGCTACAGACACCTTATTCTCAACAAAGGTACTAAAAACACATGTTGGAGAAAAGTCAGATTCTTTAATTAAATTCTGGGAAAGCTTGAGATCCAACTATAGATATGTAAAAGATTGAAACTATATCCCTATCCCTCACCCTATACAAAAAACATTTCAAAATGAATCCAAGGCCTAAATATAAGGTCTGAAGCTTTGAAACTGCTCGAAGAAAAGAAGGAAAATATTTTAAGATATTAGCATAGGCAATGGCTTTCTGAGAAAGACTTCTATAGCTCAGAAAATAACAGCAAGGATTGATAAATGGAATTTCATCAAATTTAAAAACTTTGCAAAGGAAATTTTTATGAAACAGTTAAGAGATAGCCTATAGAATGGGAGAAAATAATTTCCAGCTACTCTTCTGACAGAAGATTAATACCCAGAATATATTAAGAACTCAAAACACTTAACACCAGAAAACCCCAATAGCCCAATCAATAAATGGGCAAAGGAACTAAACAGATGCTTCTCAAAAGAAGTAGCAAAATGGCCAATAATTATATGAAAAACTATTCAAATCTTTAGCAATCAGGAAAATGCAGATTGAGATTCCATCTCACCCTAGTCAGAATGGCAATCATCAAGAATAAAAATAAGCATTGGCAAGGATATGGGGAAAAAGGAACCCTGTACAATGTTGGTGGGAATTTAAATTAGTACAGCCACTATGGAAATCAGAATGGAGGTCCCTCAATGTATAAAAATGAAACTACTGTATGATCCAGCTATACCACTCCTCAGGAATAATATCTAAAGGAATTAAAGTGAACATACTCTATAGATACCTACAAATTTATGTTAACACAGCACAATTCAAGTTATAGAATATGTCTAGGTGCCTGTCAACAGAAGAATGGATAAAGAAAACAATAATAACATCATGTCACTTGCAGAAAAAATAGATGAAAGTGGAGAACATCATATTAAAGTAATCCAGACTCATAAAGACATTTTGCATGTTTACTCTCACATGTGGAATCTAGAGAGAAAAAGAATGACATGAAAGTAAAGGGAGGGGCTGGAATTGAGGCTCAGTGGTAGAGCACTTGCCTAGTATGTGTGAGGCACTTGGTTTGATCTGTAGTACCGCATAAATATAAATAAAGAAAATAAATATATTGTGTCCATCTACAACTAAAAACATTAAAAAATTTTAAAAAGAAAGTAAAGGGAGAAAAGAGGAAGGAGACTAGGGAGAGGGTGGAAATGATCAAAATATGTTATATGCTTGTATGAATATGCTGCCATGAAACCCATTATTCTGTATAATTAATATGCACTAATAAAGAAAAAACCAATACATAAATTAAATAATTAAAGCACAGGTAAATAAGAAATAATATGAAGGTAAAACAATACAAGATTAGATTATATATAGCTTTTATTTGAATTATAAGGCAAATATTGCTAAACTTAACCAAATTTAAAATTGTAGGTAGTTTTACTTGATAATGCTAGAAAATTACTAGATTATGTATTATCTGAGATTATTCAATATTCATATTTGACTTCTGAGCTGATTAGAAATATAAATGGTTAGAAAATAATTTTTAAAACTTGGAGCTAAGGTTGTGGCTCAGTGGTAGAGCCCTTGCCTAGCATGTGTGAGGGCACTGGGTTCAATTCTTAGCACCACATATAAATAAATAAATAATAAATTAAATAAAGGTCCTTGTATCTTTAAAAAAGAACCATTATAAAAAAAGACTAACCTACTAGAATGGACTTTGATCAACATATTCCTATTGAATTCCCCTGAACACCACCATTCTATTTTCAGCTTCCATGATTTTAACATTTTTAGATTTCATCCAAGTGATATCATAGTACTTGTCTTTCCGTGTCTGATTTATTTCCCTAAGCATAACATCCTCTAGTTTCATCCATGTTATTACAAATGGCAGTATTTTCTTCTTTTTAAAAGCTGGATAGTATTCCATTATGTGTTATCACATTTTATTTTATTCATCTGTTGCATAAAATATGTGCAAAATCTGTAGGAGGAAAATGCTGAAACACTCCTAAAAAACAAAAAAATTATATTGTACTTGTGTAGGTGTGTGTATTTGCATGTACTATGTATAATACAGGCAAAGTGAAGGTCAGAAAACAAAATAGGACAAACTATTTGCAATGTACTGTATATTGCAGGTGATAGGATGGTATTCTTACTCTGTAAGGTCCTTTTAAAAAGTGAAAAAATGAGACCAGAAATATATAAAAATATACAAAATATGTGCACATGTTATTCATTAAAATTATGTAAAATCCCATAACATATTCAAACATGTTCAATTTTACTTATAATAAGAAAATATATAGATTAAAACTTAGATTGGCAAAAAATTTTAAAACTTGACAATGTATTCTCTTCGTTAGGTTGTAGGAGAAAAGACATGTATATGTATATATTAGGATCTGTAAAATACTTCCATTCTTGGAAATTTGGCAATGTCTTACAAAAAAAAACTATATATGGATTTACTCTTTGGTGCAGCAAAACAATGTCACTTATACAAACTTATGCTGAAGATGTGCCCCAGAAATATGAAAATAAGGTTATTTTTTACCATATGATTTATTTTTATTTTTCGTTAGTCATACATGACAGTAGAATATATTTTGACATATAATACATACATGGAATGTACATACATCAATCATATTGTCTATTCTATTCTGCTTCCCTTCCTATCCCCCCTACTCCTCCCCTCCTCTCCCATCCTTTCTCTTTATTCAATCTAATGTGACACACTTTTTTTTTCTTTTTCTCACCACAACATCATATATGTATTCTGTGTAACAATGAGGTTCTCCTTTCATCTTCCGTGCAAATGGGATAGGGAGGAAGAGCATGAGACGAAGACTACCACTAAATAGGGAAGAGAGGTGGGAGGGAAAAAGAGGGAGAAGGAGATTTGCATGGAAGATGAAAATAAGGTTATTCATCACAACATTATTTGAAATTATAAAATAATTGAAAACAATGTATAAATATTAGAAATGAATTAAATAAAGTTTCTATATACAAGTTTCTATATAGTTTCTAGAGCATTATTGAACTATAATAAAAGAATTAGAAAACTGTGAACTGACATGGAAAACTTTCCAGAATAAGAGGAAAAAGCAAAACAAATGTATGTGTGCACACATGTGCGTGCATGTGTTTACCATATACTATCTTTTGTGAGGAAGATGGGAAAATAAGAAAAAATATATATGAGGAGATCAAAATGGTGAATCAGAGGAACCCACAGTGTCACAGCAAGTTCCTTGAGAGTGAATTAAAATAGCATTTGATTTGGTGGATTCTCATTACTGAGAGTCAATCAGGACATAGAATAGTGATTGGGACTCAGTCTGAGGAGAAACTCACAGAGGCCCTATCAGTCTGAGCAGTGAAGAAGAAAAAAGGGCACTTCCATTTGAAATCAGAGTCTGATCTCTGAGATAAGGAGTGGGGTTGACAAGGGAGGGGAGGAACTGGTCAGGAAGAAACTCCCACCTTCCTTGAGCCCAGAAGTGACTGGAAGGTGGAGTGAAACTTCCATATATCTTTCTCCAGCACACAAAGAGGGACTCTCAGAAAGAGGGTGCTGTTCAACCCAGAACAGTCTACAGATGGAACAGGTGAAGAAACTCCTTAGAAGACCTGTTAGATTTATATTCCCACCAATGGACACAACAACAAAGCCATTTTGAATGAACCTGCTCATCCTTATCCTCCATTCCAGCAGAAATGGGCAGGCAGGAAAGGGACCAAATGCAGCATACAGAGTCACCTAACAAGTTTGACCAGCCTTATACTATTGACAGCAAATAGTATAAGATTTTCATCACAGAAAATTCCTCACAGTGGGAATTTTTACAATTGAAACCCAGAAGGAAAAAAAAGACTCTTTGCAAAAACTTCAGGAAGAAATCATCTGAGATATTTGGGACAATTTCTGCACCTGAGGTTGTTTTCTTCTTTGGCTTTGTTATCTCTATTGACTTCAGGGACTGTGAAAAAAACCAGGAGACACCAGAAATTGGGAAATGGGTTTCATTAAGTCAATCAGGTTAGTCTGGAATTTGCAATCCTTCTACCTCAGCCTCACAAGTCACTGGGGTTGCAGGAATTGGTGATCTTTAGGATATGGCTGTGAACTTTATCCTGGGAAGGTGGGCTTTGCTGGAAACTTCTCAGAAGAAGCTCTACACAGATGTTATACAGGAGTCTAAACTTTATGGGAAAAAACAACAACCAAAAAACCAGACCAATGAAGATATGTTTAAAAATACTAGGAGAAATTTAAGAAAGACAAATTTTAGGGAGACTGAACTTAATAAAGAAGACAGTGAACATGGAGAAATCTTCAGCTAAACTCTAGATCATATTGTGAATAGTATAACTCTTCCTGTAGCAAAACTCAGTGAAAGCTGTGTATGTGGAGAAATCCTCATTGGTTATTCATCACTAAACATGCTCCTCAGACCTTACACTGGACACAAACCATATGAAATTCAGGAACATAGAAAGAACCAATATAAATGTCAAGAATATGGAAAAGCTATTAGTTATACAGAAGCATGGCAGGACTCACACTGGAGGGAAACACCATGAATATAAGCAATGTGGGCCAGTCTTAACTCATCACAATTCCTTTCAAATACATGAAGGGACTCATACTTGACAGAAACCATATGTATGTATGCATTGTGGTAATGCCTTCATTGACAATAGTACCCTTCAATACCATG